GGGAGGGGTGGGGGAGGGGAGCGGGGAGGGTTAAGGTTAGGGTCCAGGTCAGCACTGGGAGTCACCAGACCCTAATCCACACCCTAGCCCTGGTCAGACTCTGACCTGCATTTCATAAACCTGAGTCTACTCAGGTGGGAGACAGTGGTGGAGTCATCTTTAGGTCATTCTTTTTGCTGGAAGGGATTGTTTCCCCAGAGTAGTTGAGTAGGGGGAGCAAAAAGCATTCAGTGACTGAGAAGAGACTAAAGATTTCAAAGAACTAAAATCATAAGAAAGAACAGAATGATAAAGAATCATCACACACCCGGATGTTGAGGAGGAAAGAACAGTCAGTTGTAACAAATAGAAGCTCATGGTAGATTTTTATCTTCTATTTGTGTTTTTCTGTGTGTTTATCTTTTCAATTTATTTTATTTTGTGGTGGGGATTGAACCCAGGCTCTGGGCACTGAGCTACACCCCCAGCCTTTGTAAAATTTTGAGACAGGGTCTTACTAAATCTCTATATTGCTCAGGTTGGACTCAAACTTGTGACCCTCCTGCCTCAGCCTCCCAATGTGTTGGGATTCCAGGCCTAGACCACCATGCCTGGCTCATTTTAAGTACTTAAACCCCTCCCAGCTTATTTTAACCACTTTTGAGTGGTTTTTTGCATTCATACTGTTGTGCATCACCATCGTTCCCCTGAAGGATTCTTAATCTTCCCAAACTAAAGCCTCATCCTCATTAAACAATAATTCCCCACCCACCTCTCTCCCCTGTTAACCATTATTCTGCTTTCTATCTCTATGAATTTGACTACTCTAAGGACTTTGTATAAATGGAATAAGAGAGTTTTGTGCTTTTGTGACTGGTTAATCTCACTTGGTATAAAGTCATCCAGGTTCCTCCAGGGCATAGTGTATGTCAGGATTACCTTCCTTTTTCAGAGCTGAATAATGTTTCCTTGTGAGTATACAACACGTACTGCTTATCCATTCATCAGCTGATGGGCACCTGGGTAGCTTCTACCTTCTGGTTATTGTAAATGATGCTGCTGTGTGCATGAGTGTTCAAATACATGCCTATTTGAGTCCTTGCTTTCAATTCTTTTAGGTATATATGCAGAAATGGAATTTCTGGGCCATATGGTAATTATACTTTTAATCAATCTTTCTCTCTTTTTTTCTTTCCTTGAGACAGGGTCTCACTATGCAGCCCAGGCTGGCCTCGAACTCGAAGGAATCCTCCTGCCTCAGGCTCCTGAGTACTGGGATTTACAGGAGTGTGCCAAGACGCCTGCCCAGCTTGGAATCCTTTGATGTACAAAAATGTTTAATAT